ATCTAAGGAAATTTCGTTTCCTAATTCATCCACCACATTGGCAGAAATCGCACAGTAAGCTTAGCTTGGCTGAGTTTGCTTCATTCATCTGTCAACAAGATTCTAGGGTTCAAACCGAGTTGACGCCTGTTGAAGGACCATGGAACAGAACAGGAGGCAGAGCAGCGTCACATTTCACACCTTGGAGGGTTCGAGCTACCAACAATAACATCATATCTCTGTCAGTCAAGCACAGTTATAGGGCTTGATAGACTGATACAAATAAAACAGCCAGTTAAAAAAGGTCTCTTGACTCTTTGCTGGCTACAATGATTGGACTTGCTTGACTCTATGACCTGCGAATGTTAAAATGGTGCTTACTTTAGGGACTAAACGAGAGAAAGATTTCATTCTCTACCCACATGGAAAAATAACAAAAACTAGAAGGAAAAATGTGCTCTTTTGAAAAGCCCTGAAGTTATTTCATAAATTCCAATGCAAATCATTTGCTTATTTCAATGTGAATCTATCTGTAAGGCATCCAAAACAGAAGACACCAATTTCATATTCAGGAAACAAAATTAATCTAGAAATATAGTTGCAGTATCTAAGGTAGATGTTCAAAGCCTTGTTTGGAGTTCCTTACAGCAATAGACTAATATATGTTACCTTTACAAGAAAGATAATAGAAAAAAGTATCTGATATTCACATAAAAACAAATTATACAGCCAGGTGGGTGGCTCATGATTGAAATCCTACCAACTCAGGAGGCGGAGATCTGAGGATCATGGTTCAAAGCCAGCCTGGGCAGGCAAGTTCATGAGACTCTTATCTCCAATGAACTGCCAGAAAACTGGAAGTGGCTCAAAGTGGTAGAGTGTTAGTCTTGAGCAAAAGAGCTCAGGGATGGTGCCCAGGCCCTGAGTTTAAGCCCCATGACTGGCAAAAACCAAAACCATTAGATTATCATAAAATTGCTCTACTACAGTTGTTTATAGCAGAGACTCTAATGGTAGTAATAATTTTTTTTTTGTCAAAATGGAAGAGAACAAGCAACTTCCCAAAGAAAAAAGTGAGTTGTGGCATCTAATTCACGTCTCATTTCAATTTCTAACATAAACCATTTCCATGTGCAAAACTGGACAGAAGAAATATAACTGTCCATCCACACATAATTCTAGTGTGATGTATCTTACATTTTCTAAAATATAGCAAGTAAAAATGTACTATGAAATTCCTATTTTTTTGTTGTTGTTGTTGGTCGTGGGGCCTAAACTCTGGGCCTGGGAGATGTCCCTCAGCTCTTCAACTCAAGGCTAGTGCTCTACCACTTGAGCCACAGCGCCACTTACGGCTTTTTCTGCTTATTTGGTGCTAAGGAATCAAACTCAGGGCCTCATGCATTCGAGGCAAGCACTCTCCCACGGAGCCACCTTCCCAGCCCTGCCTAAATTAAATTTTACCATTAAGTATATTTTGTGCTTTTTTTTTTCACGGTATTCTGAGAGCATTGCTTTAGAAAAGGACGAAAACTCACGACTCACAGTGACAAAGGAAATCTGACATCATTCCATCAATGCATTACTTATTCATCCCATTGAAAGCCCAGGTTGCCTCCTTCATTACTGGAGTCTGATTCACAATAATGCGAAGATGAATGAGATGAAAATACACACCAAGACCCTGGGTTACGGATCATAATCTTTCTATTCAAATGAGGCCACCACACCATAGAAGTTCAGCCAGAAAGATGTTTGAAGGATTTATGTCCTAGGTTCTGTGCCAAGGAATGCTCAGGAGAGGCAAGACTACTGAACTTCTCTAACTTCCTCTGGGCCTGTCCATTAAAAGTATGAAGGCCAAGGCCACTGCAGTTAAACTAACACTATATGCACTGACTTTTTAAAAAAAATCTAGTTCCTTGTATGTCAGTATAACTGAATATGTTTTTTAAAGACACAAAATATCTGGGTGCTGGTGGCTCAGGAATCTTAGCTACTCAGGAAGCTGAGATCTGAGGATCCAGGTTCAAAGCCAACAGGGGCAGCCAAGTCCGTGGGATTCTTATGTTCAATTAACCATCAGCAGCAAACCAGAAGTGGCACTGCTACTCCAAGCGATGGAGTCTACCCTTGAGTAGAACAGCTCGGGGTCAGCACCCAGGCCCTGAGTTCAAGCCCCATGACTGACCCCCCCCTCCTAAAAAAACATACAAAATAGTGACATAGTAATGAAAAAGAACAGAAGGAAAGAAACTACACATATAAATGAAGATGATTCTAAGAAGAAAGAAAAAGGCCATGAATGAGGGAAGGTCAGATGGTCCTGGAGAGGCAAGTAGGTGTAAGCAGTAGACAGAACTTGGGACGAAAACACGCAGCCCATCGTGGCACTTCTTCCCATGATGCCCTGGGCTCTCACTTGAATGTTTATTCTTCCCCAGATTCCTTGTGTGTCCACCCCCTAATGAGAAGAGGCAAGGGACCCCATATCTAACAGAAGGAGAGACTACAGTCACTCCACCTCACACTAAAAAAGTCTGTTTTGCTGTTTCCTTTGCATTCAAATAAACCTGCTCTACCTGCTTCAAACACATTTTGCCCCTTCAGTCTTTAATTGCTTGAGAAAAGAACCCAAAATTGTTAATAATTGAATATTATTGTTAATAAGTATCTAATCATAATAATGCTCCTATTCATTAATACTTATTCAGATGTAAGAAATATAATAGATATTTGTTATAAAATACATATTCTAAAGCAAAATTTGGTAGATTTTTTTAAAAAGGTAGATATAACTTCTTAGAAATCCTAGCTGGGCACTAATGGCTCACACATATAATCTTAGCTACTCAGGAGGCTGAAATCTGAGGAACACAGTTCAAAAACAGCACAGGCAGACAAATCCAGAGACTCTTATTTCCAATTAGCCACTAAAAGTCTGGAAGTCGAATTGGGCCTCAAAAGGTCAATAGCTAGCCTTAAATGAAAAAGTTAAGGGACAGTGCCCAGGCCTTAAGTTCAAGCCCCAGTACCAGGGGAAAAATGCTACATGGGGATTTGGAACTTAGAGGCTTACAGGATTTTGTTATGAGATATCTCAGCCTTACGTTTGCCATGATATAGGGTCCTAACTATGATAAAACTCCATTTCATTAGTAAAGATATGATCAAACAATTTTCTTCTCTTTTCAAAATCAATGATTTCCCATTATAAATCAAATGTGAGCAACTTGAATTACCTCTTAGCATAAATATGAATATATCTTACTTCTCTGGTACAGTTTACAATACCTACCATAATTTGTGCCAAAGGTAGTCCAGAGACTAAAGTATCAATGTTTGCTTTACATTACCTGATCACATTTCCTTACAGTCAATTGTTTATATCAAGGTCTATGCTGAGCCCCACAGCCTGCCAGATCTGTTATAACACACTTACAACTCACAATGAATAGAAGTAAAGTGGAAACTGAAGGGATTAGACACATCTCATTTTTTACTTCACAAATCCTCTAGCTGAGGGTTCTTTGGTAAGTAGCCTCAGTTTCCTCATTAAACAATGTTGATGGCATTGAGGGCTGAGACGAGAACAAAATAAAATTATATGTATAAAATGCCCCTCTGCACAGTATCTTTACAATAAAAAATATATTTAATAAAAATGTCTAAAATATTGACTTCCATATGCTAGGCATATTAACACTAAATTAATTCTCTTTTATTTATATATAACAAGGACAGGACAAAAATCTTTAGCTAATTTGCACTAATAAATGGTTCAAGAAACCAAAGGGTACATGTCTGGTTGAATTTTCAAGGAACTGAAGAGAAAATACCAGCATCTCAAAGATCTCCCTAGCGCAGAAATAAGATTCAACTATCTCTCTACATGGAAAACTCATATTCCACAAAATAGAAGCTTTAAGCATGCTATTTTTGCTATCACCTTGAGAGTTTCCCCTGGACAGTAGTGGTTTGTTTTTACTCTTCAAAACCTCTGTCTTAAAATATGAAGCCAGAGAGTAAAGGCTCCTAGAGTCAGGGCATGCCATCTACCTAGCATTAAGCAAGAGGCAGAAGTCAGTTACAGAAGCAAAGCCATTGCAAACATAATTTATGTCTCATCCTTGAATGTGGCAGGAAGACTGCAAAAGATATTTGGAAGCCAATGCTTCCGCTGAATCAAGTTGACGAGTCTCAGCTTAAGCCCTCTCCCTGGACCATGCTGGCTGGTTAGATAAGTTGCCATGTGGCTTTTGTGAACTCTGCAAACAAACTGGCTATGTGGGATGAGAAAATATCTCAAGGCCGATGATCATCGCTACTGTAAAGGCACTGTGCACAGTATAAACACTGGGGTCAGGCAACAGATATCCAGGATATTACTCAGAAACATATCTAGCTCCAAGCTGACAAGATAATCTGTTCCTGTGAGTGCAAAGCAGGCTGGAATGCCGCAGCTATGAAGGACTCAAGGAAAGAAAAGAGAATGCAACTCTCCAAGGGCTGTGTCTCAGGCTTTTTAGTCAGGCAAGTCTCCAACAGACTTCAAAGCAAGCATTGCCTAAGGAAGGAGGAGAGGAGGGAGCCCACAGAGAGAGAGGGGTATTGCTTCCGTGATCATGTTGCCATCTATATTTGCTGGACTGGCAAATCTCAGATACAAGTTTAAACAGAGGAAAAAGAAAGAAGTGTGAAATAGCTTGGAGATTTCTTGCGAAAGCAAGCTCAGAATTCCAGGAAAAATATTTAAAAATCACAAGCACCTATGTTATCCTGAAAGACCCAAAAGAGCAATTGGTGACTATCAAAAACAGACTTTAAAAAAATGGAGGTAGACTGTACTCTCATATTAGCACATAATCCACAAGTAGTGTATTTAGAAAATAATATTGCAAACTTAGTTCTCAAAGGCTATAATGTTTATAATAGAAATACAGACACTACTTTGATGTTCAAAGTTTTAACATACGTGATCCGCATTTATGTAGAGAGCCCAAATCATCAGACATACTTACAGCAGGACCTGTTGGGTAGAAAAGGTGGGGAAAAGAAAAACAGAAATTAGTGAGTGTGCAAAATAGTGCAAAATAGTAAGATTAAATAGAAGATTTTAAAAAATCATCATAACCATCAGTATAAGAAAAGACTGCAAGTTATTTAGAATTCAGTAATTTTTGATGGGTGTTCTGAATATTTTTTGGTTATGGATTTATTAAGACCATCTCAGAAAAAAAATTATACCTGCACACAATGTTGTATAAAATTTCAAGGAATTTTCAGATTCCTTATAGCCCATTTATGGATTATTAAGTTACTCAGGAATCTTCAGCAAAGAATGTCTAACTTAGAAAAGTCTACATAAAATGTGAGTTAGGAGGATCTTTTAGACCAGTAATAGGCAATTGATATATTTGATTTTGGTAAAGCATCTGAATAAGAAATGTACCCGTTATTTGTTCTAGAAATGTCTTCCACTCAATAGTATTGCCGATACACAAAAAGACTAAATCCCAATGTTTAAGTTTTTTTAAGCTATCTATTCTCATTAAAAACAGGCAAATCTAAAAATATTTCATTATTTCATATTCCATATGCTCAATAAAACACTAATTCTAAACAAGCTAGGAAGTTGGGAATTGACTTTTATGTTCTTGGCAGAACTTTGCATAAACATGAAAATTTTTCTTTTTCTCTTTATCCTTTGACACAGAAATTATTTAAGTATTTGACTCTAGTCATGTCATTTCTTAGTCCTCAAAATAGTTTCTGCTATAAACTTTTGTGACGATACTTTTACAAGTTTCCAATTATTTAGGTTCAGAAAGGTTTAATGGCAACTTTTTAGAATACCATTAAAGGAATCCAATAGTAGCTACACTGCCCAAATTAGTGAATATGTGTGTGTGTGATGTGTGTGTGTGCGCGCGCACGCTAGCACTGGGGCTTGAACTAAGTGTGTGTGTGTGTGTGTGTGTGTGTGTGTGCTAGCACTGGGGCTTGAACTAAGTGTGTGTGTGTGTGTGTGTGTGTGCATGCGCATGCTAGCACTGGAGCTTGAACTAAGGGCTTGGGCACTGTCCCTTAACTATCTGCTCAAGGCTGGCACTTTACCACTTGAGCTACATCTCCACTTCTGGCTTTTTGGTGGTTCATTGGAGATTAAGTCTCAGATTTTTTTCCTGCTGTGCTAGCTGCAAACTGCAAACCTCAAATCTCAGCCTTCTGAGTTGCAAGGATTAGAGACGTGAGCCACCAGCACTTGGCTCAAAAATTAATGATTTATCATAAACCCTATTTACTTAGCCATCTTCGAAATGAAAGAGGAGTGAGCCAATCTTCTGTCTGTTCTTCCTAATAGGGTTAATAGACTACCATATCAACACGTGGCAAATATTTTTTCATACTGACAAATACTTAACAGAAACTACTAGAAAACAACTTTATATACTAGAGTGAAACTTTAAATTACTCTGTATGGAAATGACCTCGAAAACCTTCATCTGACCATTCACATTTTTTGGAATCATAGACTTATAAAACAAGCAAAAAACAGTAAGAGAATTCATGCATTCGTACATCTTGCTTTCAAAACATATTTTAATTTCAAGTTTCTTTTTTACTTTGCCTATGGGGATTTGGCCTGAAAGCAAAAGGGTACTTAAGTGGGAATCAGAACAATGAGTTCTATTTTGAGTTTTGCTCATCTAAAACTGCACGGCCCCGGCCGAACTACCTGATTGCTCTGGGCCTCTGTCCCCTCAACGATAGGATGAAAAATGCTGGATTGATTACTAATCGCCTTGTCATCACTAAAACTCTGGCTATACAAGAAGAATCACAACTTTCCAAATTTGAAAAGAATGAGAGTTAAAAGCATGACAAAATTATGCCAGTTGGATAGAATAATAACAAGACCTGCCAAGATATGTACTCCAACGTCTGGGGCAGATGTTTTCAGAGAAGACCTATATTTACTGACCACCTACTGAGCCAGGCACATGCTCCACTACTCACAGAGAGACAGACTTCGCCTGACACAAGTAAGCCAAAATTAGGGGGTTGGGGGAAGGTCAGTGGCTATTAAACTGTAGTCAGCAATACTTTGCAAACTGACTAGAGTTTGATATAAACAAGGAGACAACACAGAAAGGAATTCTAGGTCCGGCAGAGAAGATTTAAACATACACACAACCTCCGACAAGAAAGTATTACAGCAAAGGGCAGGAAGCTCACGCCTGCAATCCTAGCTACTCAAGAGGCTGAGATCTGAGGATTGTGGTTCAAAGCTAGCCTGGGTAGGAAAGTCCATGACACTCCTTTCTCAAATTAACCACACACAAAAAAAAGCCAGAAGTGGAGCTAGGGATCAAGTGGCAGAGTGATAGCCTTGAGCACAAAAGCTTAAGGATAGCACCCAGGCCTTGAGTTCAAGTCCCAGGACTGGCCCCCAAAAAGGTACTACCATGAACATGGAGGGCTAAAATGGGAACTACACCAGAAAAAAGGACACAGAGAAAAAGAGACTCACCAGATTCTCCTCTTCGGCCCCTCTTCCCTCGTTTCCCTGGAGGACCTGAAATACAAAGAAGAATTTCTTTAGAGTATAGTCTTTTTTTTTTCTTCTGATTGTAACATGACTAGTGTATCTTTTTTTTTGGGGGGGGTCCAGTCGTGGGGCCTGAACTCTGGACCTGGGCACTGTCCCTCAGCTCTTCAGCTCAAGGCTAGCGCTGTACCAATTGAGCCACAGCACCACTTCCGGCTTTTTTCTTTTTGCTTATGTGGTGCTGAGGAATCGAACCCAGAGCCTCAGGCATGCAAGGCAAGCGCTCTACCACTGAGTCACCTTCCCAGCCCCAAGTGTATCATTTTTTATATACTTTTCCCCCCCGCTGATTTTAACCACCATCTTCAAGAAACAGACCCAACATTTACAAAAGCCAATACTGTATTTAGTGTTTCAGCAAAACTCTTAAGCTCCCTTAATTATAAAAAACTACTTGAAATATCTAAAAATCCCTTGTGGTTCAAGAACACTAAAGATTTGAAACTTTTACTCATTGTACTTGGATATCATCACTAAACCTCTGTTGCTGTTGAGATTTCATATTTCTTAGCAATTTTTTTCCACAAAGATTTTTTTATAGCTAACTAATTAAAAGTAAGTGTAAGTCAGGTGCCTGTAATCCTAGCTACTCAGGAGGCTGAGATGTGAGGATCATGGTTCAAAGCCAGCCCATGTAGGAAAGTCTATGAGACTCTTATCTCCAATTTAATACAAAAAAAAAACTGGAAGTGGAGTTGTGGCTCTAAGTGGTAGAGCACCAGTCTTGCATGAAAGAGCTCAGGGACGGCACCTCAGCCATAAATTCAAGCCCCACAAGTGACAAAATAATAAATAACACAAAAGTCCAAATGAATACAGTTTCTCTTCAGTCAAATTCATCCTCATTCTTCCAATAATATTTAGTAATTAAAAGTATACATTAGTAAAATGAATACATTTTGCAAATGTATTAAATGCAAATCTACTGGAATTCCTTTAAATTATACCTTGAATAGATTCACAACCATTCTAACTGCACCAAGTGTACCAGTAACCTTAAGTCTGGTTTTTCTAGAGAATGATTCATTATTCTCCCTTGCTGAACAGTTTAGCCTTTGTGGTGGCTTTCTCAGTGAACTATCTGTTAAGACCACCAACCTAATGCGTGTGTGAGGGGGGTGTGGGTATGTATCTGAGACTTAGCACAAGATTTTAGGCATTTGTAGCTTTCAAGTCATTATTCTCAATTACATAATTTCTGTCCTCATTTCATTGGGCAGAAATAGCTTCCAATGAATGATGGCTCAGGCAAACAGAACACAGTAATTAGCCCACAATGAGAACGGAGGACTTACAATATTTGCTAGGAGAAAAAGTCCAAGGAAAATACAGTACTGTCTGTCTGCTTAAAAAAAAAATGAGCTGCTAAGTGGAACTACGGAAAAGTTTAAGACACAGGCAGCACAGGCCAGTGTGTGCAGCTGACTCAGTGTGAGCTGGAGACACTGCCTTCTGCATGGAAACGTTATCATGAGAAATGCTAACATCGTGGGCCACTTAGCTTTCCCACCACTGCTGGCACGGGAGCAATCTGGCCACCCGGGTTTTGTAACAAGGTGAAAAGCAACTAGCCAGTAAAATGGTTAAAATATTAGGAGCAGCAACTTTACAGCAAAGTCTAAAGCTTTCACTAGAAACAGAGTTTACCTGGGTTCTAGTATAAAGGGAGATCATCGTGTGAAGGATGTTCTTGGCCAGATGAAGAAGAGGAAGAGAATTGTTTAAGTAGATAAAGAAACTCAGTGGGCCCTTGATAAGAAATACAGTTGTAATCCTGCCCAAACACACATATACCAACAAATGCTAACACATGAAACTTCATTATGATTAGCAATCAAGGCAGGTGCCAGTGGCTCACACCTGTAATCCTAGCTACCCAGGTGGCTGAGATCTGAAGACCATGTGTTAAAGCCAGCCCAGAGACTCTTATCTCCAATTAACTTCCAAGAAAAGCTGGAAGTGGAGCTGTCACTTAATGGTAGAGTGCTAGCTTTGAGCAAAAAGCAGCTCAGGGACAGCACCCAAGCCCTGAGTTCAAGCCTGAGGACTAGGATAAAGCACACACAACAAATATTAGCAATCAGGTATTTTTGTAGTTGAAGATATTTTATTTAGAAACCATTATATACTTAAGATAGCTGTGGTTCACAAAGAATTATTAACAAAAGCCATGCTATTCTTGAAGACAAGCTAGATGCCCATTTTTCAAAACTGACTATAGACTGAATTTATACTTCAAGTACAAATAAAAATGATTCACAGTTAAAATGAGACAAGAAATTTAGGATTATACAAAGATAAAAACATAGACTCATGCCTGTAATCCTAGTTACTCAGCAGGCTTTGGACAGATCTGAAAGATCACAGTTCAAAGTTAGCCCAGCAGAAAACCTTGCAAGACTCCATCTCTAAAATAACTGGCAAAAAGTTGGGCTGGAGGTGTGGTCCAAGAGGTAGAACAGCAGCTGATCAAGCAAGCAAGCTAGGCAAGTATGAGGCCCTAAGCTCAAACCCAAATACTGTCCAAGAAGAAAAGGAGGAAGGGAAAGAAGGAAGGGAGGGAGGGAGGGAGAGAGGAAGGGAGGGAGGAAGGAAGGAAGGAAGAAAGGAAGGAAGGAAGGATGGATGGATAGAAGGAAGGAAGGAAGGAAGGAAGGAAATCAGGCAAAAGGAAAGTTACAATGAGAGGTATTTTGACTGCCAACTCACTGACAACAAAGGTGCCAGAAGACCTAGTTCTGACTTTTACGACATGTCTTAGAAGTGTATTATCTATTCATTGGGGATTAGGCTTAAAAAACAAATGAATACTATATATGACCATGCCTTCCTTAAATATTCAATCAGAAGCCTTCCAGAAACAGATCATAGGTTGTGGGAAATCTGTCATATCTAGAGCCAGAGAGCAGAATATAAGGAAATGGAAGACATTTGAGGACTAGAAAAAAACGAAGCAAAACCAGTTATAAGATGATGAGACTCTAAAATATCTTGGATTGAAAAAGAATATATTAAATGACGATAGGAAGCAGAGGCCTGAACTGAGCATTGTCCTAACTCAGTGAAGTAAGAAATTATTCAAAACTCTCAGAAAGATGTAGACAAAGATCTAGCTAATGAAGAGAATAAACCAAAGTCTAAAGAAGTCTGCTGATCAAAACGATTTGATTTTGTTTCCAAACTTACAAGCAAAAATTAAAAGTGAAATGGATGAGATGAATTTGAGAACAGAGTTGGCAGCTCAGTAGATTGAGAAGAAAAAAAAATCAGAAAAAAACACTAGATAGCTGTCTTCCAGAAAAAAAAAAACACATTAATGAGAGCTGAAAAGAGAGTAATGGAATGTCAGCCAGGAGTGGTAGGAACAAAATGTAGAAGTTGGAACGTGGCTTTTAATCATGGACTCTAGCTAGAGACGTTCGCCAGAAGGTTTCAGTGAATTTCATCAGCAAAAAGACATGAGTCTGTAAAACAAACCACTTTAAGAATATGGATGGGAGACTGGTACCAGTGGCTCACATCCCTAATTCTACTCAGGAGGCTGAGATCTGAGGATCTAGTTTAAAAGCCAGCCCACAGTGAGAAATCTGTGAGATGCGTATCTCCGATTAGCTGGTCAAACTTAGGAACTGAAAGCATAGCTCAAGTAGGAGAGCTAAGGTCATGAGCAAAAGGCCAAGTAAAAGCTTGAGAGGCCTATGTTCAAACCCCAGGATTGGCACAAGGGTTTTTTTTTTTAAAAGAGAATTTGAATGGAAAGAATAAAAACAGATACTACCAGCAACTTAGCAAGTGAAATGCACAAGCTAAGAATTAAGCAATGAAGAATTACAGAAAATAAAGGGAAACTACAAAACCAAATTGCTTTTCAGCATTAGATCTATGACAACCAGTAATGTTCACGCCTTTCCATGAGCCTCATGTGCTCTAGAGGATGGCTGATTATAGATGCAGCTGAATGCTCTCCTCTGATGAGTTGCCAAAAGTTGACAATTCTAAACTCCATTTCTCATATATGCTCATCCTGCCAGTATTTCCAAATCAAGTTTCAATATAACCTGTCTGAATGCTATTAGCTTTCCTGTAAATCAAAACACCTTTGCTTCTTACAAATACTGATTACAAAATATGAAGGAAGAGTTAGAGAAAAGACTTGTAATTCTTAGTTGGGTTTGTTTCTGGCCATGTTGCTTGTGGGGTGGGAGATATCATGTGGACAGGAAACAAGGAGAAGGTTTAGGTCTTGGGAGACTGTGCACAGGTGTGTTGTCATGGCAACCTGAGGACATGGATAAATGCAGTCCTGTGGCCACAAAAAATGACTTAGTGGTCACTAATGATATTGACTGACTGAATCGGGATGAAGGAGGTAATTATTGCAGGAAAAAAAGTTATACTAAGCACTCAGTAAGCATTAACTTCTTTTTTTTTGTCTTGGATTTGTTTGTCTTGAACTCAGGACTTGGGTGCTGTCCCTGAGCTATTTCACTCAAGGATAGCCCTCATTTGAACCACAGCTCCACTTCCTGTTTTCTGGTGGTTAACTGGAGATAAGAATTTCAGCAACCTTGCTGTTGAGTGGGCTTCAAATGGTAATCCTCAGATCTCAGCCTCCTGTGCAGCTAGGATGACAAGTATGAGCCACTAGCACCCAGCTGGTGGTGTATGTATTTTCTTTTTACTCAGTCAATAACGATTATAATAAATTTGAGTGTTTCATGCCAAAAATTTGTGTATATATATGTGAAACTGAGAACAATTAATATTGCCTTCTAATCAGAATATTTAAAGTCAATTTAGCATGATGGAAAGAAAATAGTTAAGATCTGTAAGTGTTCACTACTGTGCAAGTTGAAGTAACTCTCAGAACCAATTTGATTTAGTCTGCTGAAATAACAAGTACAGATGATTTACTTCTGCCCCATTTGTGAGACTGTTATGAATGTAAAACTGTAAGGTGTCATATG